TGTTGATCCATCTCGTTGTAAGAATGCTGATTTGAATAATTACTAACGCTTCCATCTTCTTCATAATTTCGTACATACAACCACAATTCAAACATAGAATTCTATATTTAAGAAAAATAAAAAAGTACTGAAGATAAGAATAAAAGAAAAGATAAAACGTAATTCGGATTTAAGAATGGGATGTTCCGATTATCCCGGAAGAAGTAAAAATTTAGGAACGATCTCGATGTAAAAATAACAAGTTGAAGAGGATAAAGTGGAAATCGTTTATATCAGGTCGGTCGATAAAACAGGATGAATATAACGTGCGACGCATCGGGCCGCAACTTTAAAACTTTGAAATCTCTCGGAGGCAGGTTATTGATTCGACGGAACGAGAAGGCGAAAAATGCTATGAAGTTGCAGTCTACCTAACAAGGGGAGGACCATTTAAGAGAACTACGTATCAGTTATTTTTTTTTTTTCAAACTTTCCACGCACACTTGTAATACTCCGTGAGAATAGACATTATACATTTTTCAAAAAATACAGATCTCAACTGTTTACGAAAAAATTGTGGCGGGGTGAGGGGGTAGAAATTTCTCTCAAACAAAATTCTCATATACACTTATTTTTTTTTTCTTCGATAGCGTAATAGGTTAGGATGCAGTATCGTGTCCCTAATGTCCCGTCCGGGGATTCCCCGATCATTCTACAAAATACCCGACCGCAAATAACGCAATAAATGAATATAAGAATTTTGTTAGCGAAATATCTACCCCCAATTTTTAGTTCGCAAACGATTGGAGATCTGTATTTTTAAAAAAAGTATTGTAGAATATATTTTATATATTCTCATGGACACTTTGCAAGTGTGCAAAGTTTGAAAAAAAAAAAGAAATCTGAGATGAGCCTCTCGTAAATGGTCCTGCCCTTGTAAGATATGGCCGGGTCAACGGGTCATCGTTTCTTTCCAACAGCATTATTCATCCTTTTCTTTTTTCTCTTCTTCTTCTTCTTTGACACAACCTTCGACTTATTTATTTTTTTTTACTTTTAAACAAAATCTTTTTTTTCTTTACTCACTCTAATACAGTATCGTATATCAATATACAATAAAACATTTCGAGAATTTATAAATTTTTGTAATTCTTATGAATACGTTCCATGTAGTATCCATCTACTTCATTTTCTTTTCTCTTTTTACGTATATATATATAGTACATATATAACTATTCTACCGGTCGTTGCTATCTTTTACTGCAATATATCGGAAAAAGGGGGAAGCAGTTTGCTTTTTCTAGTTTCTAGATAAACACGGATAATGCATGGATATGGCTTCTTTGGTATCTATTCTCTATTATTTTATTTTTTTTTTCTTCTTCATCCTCGAAAGAATAGTGACAAAAATGATCTTACAGTGAATTCATCTTGATTAAACGCAAAAGATTAGATTTAAGTTTCATCAATAATATATTACCTGTACAAACATTTTTGCGGTTTGCATATTTGTAGAAAATTTCAAGACAAATGATTAAGTTTTTACTTTTATTTAAAAAGAAAATAAATAAATAAATAAAGGCTTTTTCGAAGCTCAAAACTTTTGAATACACCCACGTATTTTTTTTAAATATACAAGAATCGCACACTCATAATAAGTGTGGGTGTACTATTATACGAAAATTCCTTCATTTGAACAATTATGTCTTTCTATTAATTCGAATAATTGAGATTTTTACTGCACATATATTTGCTTATGCTAGATAGACAATCGAGTTTTTATATTGGCGAGTCTTATTGTTGCAAAAGCGATAAGGTTGAGAGGCACTGTTCGAAAAACAAATCTTTACCTTAGATAATGCGAGAAATTATGCCAAAAGAGATCGACAATTTGATATCGACATGATAATATTCGTTAATTTTCATCGTTTACTTTACCATATGCGTATGAGTATTCATGCACGCGTACTTATTTATTATACTTATTACAGCGAGTATCGAAATAAAAAATTATTTTTCGCGTTCAAATATAAGAAATATTAATATATAAAATAATACACAAACTCGTATACGAATGAAATGAAATCTCAATATTACACTGAACGCGGTAGATTCAATCGTTAAAAATAAATTAAAAGTAAGCAATTTGTTTCTTGTGCGTGTGTGTTTTTTTTTATCGCTTCTATGTTGATATACTCATTACATTTTTCTCGATTATTTGCGCGTTATTTATCATCCCATATTTTTTATATATACATTAAGAAATAATCGTGGGTGAATTGAAAAGTATTGAGGCTAATGTAAAAGCAATTTTTTTGGTTTGGTTTTTCGGTCAAACTCTCGTCTTAACATTTTAACGTAATAGTTTCAAAATATTTAGAAAAGAATAGGATCAAGACATTTTTTAATTCATCATCGTATATTTATTATGTGTATCGATCGAGTCGTAAGTAAATTAACAATGATTACAAATTAAAAAATTAAGAAGAAGAAAAAATATTGCGAAATCATAAAGATCTTTTCGTTATCTTACATTAGATACGTCCTCACGGTTCGACGACACTGTTATAAGCCGCAAATGTGCAACCGAGATAATGCACGCTCTCTTATCACTCTAGAAGAGTTCGCATTCGCTTATCGAACACTATCAATCCGAGTTTCGGATAATATCAAGAAGACGATGGGACTTCTTTCATCTTCTGTCTGTCTCTCTCTCTCTCTTTCTCTTTCTCTCTCTTTCCTTTTTTTATTTTGTTTATCATTCTTCTCGCTATCTAAGAATGTCTACATACATTTCTTTTTTATTAACATTACATAAGAAAAAAATATGTCAACGATAGGCTATTCGAGAAGATTCAAGAGGAATACTCCACTTCATTATTTTTATTTAAAATTTGTTTGTTTTGTTTATTAACGTTTGTTCGAATAATAAAACAGTACCGTGTTTTAAATAATTTATTTGTCATTTTGAGAATTTTGTAATTTTTGCATAAGTTTGGTGAAACCTAATGAAAAATCAAATACTTCTAATGCATCCTTTTTTTTTTTTTTTTTATATATATAAAATGAAGACAACGATAATTAAGAATACGGATGAACATGTTTTCATAAGTTCCTTTTCTCGAGCAAGAAAGAGAAAACCAGACGAGAACTCTCTCTGGACTTATGTTTTCCTTGGTATCAGGAGAACAGGAGGAATTAGTATGGTATATATTGTAGAACACAAGACACTTAGCGAAATAGGACAAACTGCTGAGTCAAGATAAAGGTAATAGCTTATTTTTCTTAATTCGCGAACTATATGCACATAATTCTTTTTTTTAGTGACATAAAATGAAGTATAAATATGTATTATACTGTTTCTAAGTTTTTATTTTTAAATATACACTTGGTTTGTGGGGGTTTAAAGGTATTGAAGGGTTGAATCTTGATTATTTCAAAACTAAAAGTTTCTTTTTCATTAAAGTTTCAAACTTTCCAGCCTGCTCTCGTATTTTATTAGAAAAAATAATTACAAATAATTATTAATAATTTTAATTATAAATAAATATAATTGAATATCAAACAATTTTAATATTCATAGCTTTCAATTATAAATTTATCGCTATAATTATTGACTTCTACAATAAAATTAAATACAAAAAATAATTGATTAAATATTTAAATTTAAATTATGTAATCAACATTATATCTATATCCTTCAAAGAGAGAAAGATTTAAATAAAAGGAGAGAGAGAAACAGAGAAGAAAAATGACAATGACCTTTTTACCGCGTGCCTAATCATTTTAAAAGCAAGTAAATATCGATAACACTTTTTTTTATCAATGCTTTTCCCACTTTATTTGCTTCTTTACTTTCACTTGAGGATCTCTCGATTTTGATTGATTTCATTTCGACATATTATATATTCCGAAAATTTCCTTTCAAACCTATTCCAAGCTTATCATTCGTTATTACTTTTTTCGGCTATTAATGAACATCGCACGCGATTGGATAAGAAGTTCACGTGAAACAAAATGGAAAATATGTAAATATTTCCTTATATATATATATAAAAATACGCTTTTCTAATCTACATATAATATAATCTTTTACTTTTATTTAGCAAAAATCAAAGTAATATTTACATACACTTGAAATAGATCACGATCAAGGTTAAGTAAAAAAAAATCGAGGACAAGAAAGTTTCTTTTAAGTGAAAGTCTTTTAATACTGAAAATATACTCTATACACACATATATATGTTGTATAAAATTAATTTTATTTAATTATGGAAAGTTAACTCAAAGCCATCTTATTTTGCATTAAATCATTTTATTCGTGGAAGAAAACTTCTATCGTATTAGAAATTTATCTAACTATAAGGTCAAATTTATAGACCGCAGCAATACCTCTTGACGAAGGACCTTCAAAAAGGGTTCAAAGTCAGTAGCACACATTACTTACATACATAGTATACACAAGTATCTTCCAAGTATATTACTGTAAATATATGTATATATACATATGTGTGTGTGCGTATGTGTATGCACCTACAAAAGGTAAAAGAGAAAGAGAGAGAGAGAGAGAGAGTCGAGTAAGTCTCTGGAACACGAGACGACGCGCCAATGGGCGGTCCGCGTGGTGCCGAATGGACCTTCGTCGGCAAATGAACGACCCCCTTCCCTTCCCACCCTTCTTTACCCTTTCGAGCACCTTACACTTTCTCTCTCTCTCTCTCTCTCTCTCTCTCTTTCTCAGCTTGCACGCATTCGCAAACCTACCTCACCACTCTCGTTAGCACGTAAACACGAATGACATTCTTACCAAAAAAAAAGAAAAAAAAACAAAGAAAATAAGAATAAACGAATATGGTGAAAAGAATTAGAGATACAAAAAAACACAAGGACACAGAGATAGAAAATTAATAAAATATAATGAAAGATGTGAACAAATAATCGTGGTATTGCTGCGTGTGTAACAATTAGAAAATAGATAGGAAATGTCAATGATATTAAATATAAATATAGATTTTACTCACATAACGACGTATCCAGAGTGAAATCTCGACAGCCCGCGAGATCAACACTGTCCGTAATTTAAAGAAGAAATAAGATGATTGGCTGTCGTCCACCCGTGTCGTTCTCCTTCCGCTCCCTGTGATTGGTTAACACTTGACACTGTACAAAACACGTGTAAACACACGGCACTATTATTATTATAATTATTAGTATTCTTCTTTTATCCTCTTCTTCTATTTCTTCTCCACGAGCTACTCCTGTTTTTTGAATTTGTATTTCTTATGCGCACACATCCAAGAAGAGACGAACGTTGATTAATGAAGAAGCCCCGCATTAACCGTGTAGTTGAAATAATCAAACTATGCGAGAGAAAAAAACAACGCGATTACTATCCCCCCCTTTCTATCTCTTTTTTTTTTTATTAAATGTAATTTTGTCGTTAATATTAATTATTATTTTTTAACGAAAACACGCCGATTCCGAATCTCGTAGTCTTCTTTTCTTGCTTTCTCTCTCTCTCTCTCTCTTTCTGTCAGCTTCCTTCTCTTCTATCTTAACGACGTTGTGTGTACTTGTCTTGTCACACCGACCGTGCCGTTATCTCTCTCTCTCTCTCTCTCTCTCTCCCTCTCTCTCTCTCTCTCTCTTTTCTCGCAGCGCGCGCCCGACGTCAACGACGACGATGACGGTGACAACAACAACAACGACGACGACGGCGACGACGATTACACGACGAAGACACCGCGGGAGAGGGTTCTCTCTTTAGCCTCTCTCGTTCATCTGAACGACACCGACAACTACGACGATGACGAGGAGTAGTAGTAGGACGACGACGACGACGACGACGACGACGACGCGATGACAAGAAAGAGAGGGACAGCACGCGTACACGATTTGAGTCTCTCACGGGACGTCGATTTTGAAGGAGGGAACTTTGAAGAAAACTAACACGCCTCTTCTTTCTTTTCCAACCCTAATTGGGTACGTGCTAACGTGCTTGTGTGCTTGCGTTACGGAGCAATGAAAACTTCACGAAAATATATTGATAATATTGTATATTATGTATATTTTGCGTAAATCTGTATCTGTGTACGTGTTCTGTGTATACTCTAAATATATATATGGATATACTGTGTGTGTTTGTTTACCACCAGTGCGCGTCTTCTATGTACACAAAACATAGGCTCACGTAGTATATATATATATATACATATATATATATATGTATGTATATTTATTGTATTATATATGCCGTATGTATTTTCACGTTTATATATATATATATGTATATGTACCACTGATTGTGTGAGAGAGACGTGTGTCCGGCGTTCCGTGTGTATTATGTGTTACGCACGTTAGAAGACTCCGCTCACCGCTGAGAGTGCAAGCGCGCGACTGCGGCGGCGCTTGACGCGACTCGTGCGCCGGCCGCGTGTTTACCGATTCGGCCGCCGGCCTCGACGGTGGCGCCACCGGTGCCTCCTTCGAACGACGTGAGACCAGCCACTGACCCTGTCTCTTTCACCCGCCTCTCGACGCATGAAATTTCGATGCCATCGTCGTCCTACTCCCCTTCCTCCTCACTCTTTCGCGCATTTTATCATCCTCTCTCTCTCTCTCTCTCTCTCTCTCTTCTTTGCAAAACCAACGAGCTCACTTCGCGACCGAGAACGCCCCACCTCTTACTCTCTCTCTCTACACTCTCACTATCTCTATCTCCTTCTCCTTTTCTTATTCTTTCTCTTTCTCTTTCTTTTGCTTTATATTTTTCTTTATTTCTTTCTTTCTAACGACGAATCGCTCGATCTACTCACGTTTTTTTTTATGCCACGTACTCAAATGACTTTGACGATCAACAATTATTATGGAACGCGAATCTGTATTCTCTGTGTATTACAGCACATACTAGAATTATTATCGTTAATTAAGTTTGTAAAAACATCTCGATCGATTAAAATTAATCGTTACATTTGAGTAGGTTTTAAAAAAAAGAATACTATACCAAATCATTTCGTGACTTTGAACAATTATAGAACGCAAATTCGTATTATTTCTAATTAAATACGTTTACATAGAAAAATGTAATAACCTCTTTTATATGTCGATCAATAAATTTGTTGGTTAAGAAAATGATATCGCGAGTAAATTTCACGATCAATGATTATTTACATAGAAGTTAATATTTTTTTACGATCTACCATACGCTTGACTATTAATTTATATCGAGATTAAACAAATCTCGATCGATAAGAATAAATTATTCGAGATATATAATAAATATTTGATTTTTAAATGAAAAATAAGTAGCATACCGTTATTACTATAAAACGCAAATAATCTCTAGCTGATTCGTTGGAAACTTAAACGGAGATTATGAAAGGAACGATCGGATACAAATAGCAAGGCTAAAATTGTGCCTTCCTGCATTTTTAAAGGGTCCGTGTGTTTACGGATGCGCGCACGCTGTTACCGCGCATGCGCGTTTTAAACTTCCAAACTCGTGAAGCTGTCGAAGACTCTAAATCGAACGTACACGTTGAGATAGCATTTAGCATTAGTTTCCACGCGACGAATATAAATTTTTCTACAAATATCTACCAATCGATATAAAATACGATACGGTAATACAGTACATTCTAAATTGGAAGTTGTCGATTATCGAAATTTTCAAATTGGACGAATTTTATTGGTCGTATATTTACATTTCTCACTTTTTTCAGCTATTTAAAACAATTCATAATACTACTCCAATAATTTTTCTTACGTTTCATATTCATAATTTCAAATTTATTTTATTATATCTGACTAGACAGTTATGTTCTATGTAATTACATTGAGGTTAAAAATATCGAATGTTTCTATGATTTTTATGAATTATACGACACATATTAATTTATCCTTTCCCATTGGTACAACACAACATGTAAGTAATGTATCAATGTTCACACTCGAGGTTGTACGTATGTATCTTAATATATACATTTATTGATACACTTATACATAATTCATATCGTAATTAATGTAGCAATATATTCTGATAAATAATCATCGAATATTTCAATGCTTACAAATAGTGGTAAGCACGGAGCTTTAAGAAAAATAAAATTAATGACATATATTAATCGTTTCTATTTAATATTAATTGTAAGATCGAAATTAAATCAATAAAAACAAAAAATTTACAAGATTCGACATTAACTCTTTTACCGATTGTGAAAATTGGAGAAATCAATACATAAATAAATTTGAATACATATGGAAGACATAATAGGTGTATTCATACTACGAAGAATGATCGAAGGTGATTGGTCGTGCGTAATGAATTTGGTCCAATCGGAATGAGGCCTCGAGTAAGGGAGATAGAATGATAGAGATAGAAAGAGAAAGATATGGTAGGAGAAAGAGGAAGAGAAAATAAAAAGAGATAGAGTAGAACTCCGTCGCAGGTGAAAGAATGGAGGGAATATAGAAAGAGGTGAGAAACTGTAGAAGGCTGCCTGCATTCTGCCTGTAATCTGTGGTAGGAGGCATGTAGGACGAACGGATGGAGAACACCAGCGTGATTTGCCGTGAGCTTTGGCGAGGCGAGACGAGACGAGAGTGAAAAAGAAAGAGTAAATGAGAGAAAGAGAGAAAGAGTGAGGAAGATGGGGGACGACAGCTAAAGCGAGAGAGAGAGAGAGAGAGAGAAAGAGAAAGAGTATACCAGCAACGTGAAGCAGAAAGAAAAGAGAGTAAAGAGGAAGGAAAGATGACGAGAGAAAGAGAGAAGAAAGAGTATACGAGCAACGTTAAGCAAAAAGAAAAAAGAGTGAAGAGTGAAGGAAAGAAGAAGTGAGATAGACGGACAGAGAGAAAGAGAGATAGAGTTAGAATAAAAAGAGAGATAGAAGAGCGGACCAGAAGAGAAAAAGAAAGAAAGAGAGAGAGAGAGAGAGAGAGATAGAAACCGGACGGAGACCAGCGAACGCGAGTCTTGCACACGGGCAAAAAACAAAAGTGCATCTCTCGGCAAGATGGCCGTCGGTTCTCAACGACTCTCAAGGTTACTTAGAGAGCAGCATAGGGGAGAGAACAGAGCGCGGCACTGCGTTGCGTATGAACTGGCGTATGTGTGCCAGCTAGCAGCCTTTAAACTTTCATGTAGGCCTCGTTATTTATTTTGATAAATCTTCGCGCCACGCTCGCGTTCGTCTGTGACGGACGAGTTGCGCGCACGAGCTCGAGCGAAAACGTGGAACGAAGCGTGTGTGCGAACTCTCCAACGCATTCGGCCAATTTCGGAGACGTTTCGTGGAAGATGTTCCTGTCCGAAGAAGATGAGAAGAGACGAATTTGCTGCGGGGCATCGTTATACATATACTTACATGTATGTGTACACACACGTATTTACCATTGCTCATAGATTGGATCGATGACATCGATTGTACAAAAGTAATATATATATATGTATATGTATATACATACGTAGATATATTATATTTAAGATTCTTTTATTCTAAAAATAATCAAATAAACAATTATAGCAAATCATCGTTGCTAAATATGTTGTGAAAGATCCGTTTGCCATTTTGGAACCTTACCAAGGTCTCTAAAAATTAGAAATCTTTCTCCTCTCTTTCTCCTTTTTGCAAAGTTAGTTCGCGGCACGTGCGAACAAAAGATATCCGCGCGCAGTTTACAAATGTCTTGTTAAAATCTCGTTATATAAATAGTATATATGCTTGATGCACGACTCTTCGTAAATGTCAAGCATTTATGGCTCGAAGAGAAAGAGAGAGAAAAGGAGAGAAAAAGAGAGAGAGAGAAAGAGAACTGGAAGGTGTAAATCTCCTTATCTAAATGAAATCCTCCAAACAATATTCTTTCTTTCTTTCTTTCTTTCCATTTTGTTTCTCTCCTTTTATTTTTTTCTTTCCTTCTCACTCTCTTTCTCTCCGTTTACTTAGAATCTCGTTTCGATAAAATATAATGCTTCTCGAATGTCGGAAAGAGAGTTTTAAACCTGGTATACCTCTCTCTTTTCCTTCTTCTTCTTCTTCTTCTTCTTCTAATTCCAAGTTCTTCTATCTCATGCATATTCATAAGCCTTTTTAAAAAACAAACACACGCATTTACACGAACGCACACGTATAAAAGATTTTCGCGAACGGCTAGGATATGCCGTTCGAGTTTGATTTTTCTCCGTTTGCGTTGTGGGTTCGCAATATACGTATACGTTTAAGTTGCATCTATCTTTTGGCCTTATGTTACCCCTATTCTCGTCTACGTTCTAACCAAGGTTATCTCCACCTCCTCCTCACCCCTCCTTCTACCACCTCCTTCTTCTTCTTCTTCTTCTCTTCTTCTGCTTCTTCTTCTTCTACTTCTTCTTCTCCGCCTCATCCTTCGGCTTCCCATGCAGAAAAGTACAGTCCACCGAGAAATAACGCAGGAATGTGCAAGAATGAAATGCGTGTGCGTTCATGAACGCCTCCTTCTCTTCGCGTATCCCTCGATAACATTCCTTTTTTTTTTTCCTTATTTTTTCTTGTTTTTTTTTTTTTTTTTTTTTTTTTTTTTTTTNTATTTTTTTTTTTTTTAACCAACTTCTTTCCTCTTCCCTCAACTGTGTAATTTTATAACGTTACGTCTATCGTAAGATGATGAATCGTTACTGTTTAATATGAATCTGCTTTGGAACTATTTACTGTTCACCATTGATTATGCTATTCATATACAATTAATACCATCGATTAAATTTATAAATGTAAGTTTAATATAATGAGATTGTTTCTTTTTAATTACACGTAAATTGATTTAAATATACGAATAAGGGAAACATTCATTTGCATATTAGTCGCAAGTTCGGGCCTAGCTATTTGTGGGATCACATTTTTAATCTATTCTATTTAAAAACGATATTGAAAAATTAGTCTAGTATTTTTGTTAAATAAAAAAAAAGCAAAGTGTATTTGATTAAATAAATGTTGCTTATTAACTAATAAAAATAGAATCCTATATACAAATTATTATGAATGGTTTACCGTTCCTTTCGTATTAATTAAAATGAACAACATTCGTTGTTACATTTCTTGGATCTAATATAATCTTGTTAGTTTCTGTGAAACGGAGATATAAAAATTCAAGATGTACCTTTCACCTATTCGATATCGGACGAATGGTCGATTTAAAGAAGAGTTTAAAAATAAATTGACCAAAAATTTATTGATAGAAAAGAAAAAAATATATCCTGTCAGAAGTGGGACTCGAACCCACGCCCACATAAGTGGACTGCGACCTGAACGCAGCGCCTTAGACCGCTCGGCCATCCTGACATGAGCTGGCGAGATTTGTTTAATACTCAAGAGAGCAAAGACATATTGTTGCTCGTTTCTGAAAATAAAATTTAAACAATGCGTAAAAT